GAGAGAAAAATTATAATTTTTAAAAACTACACTACCCCTTGGAACAAGATTATGGTTTAAAAAAGATTAGCTAAGTTCAGAAAATAAATCTTAAAGTTTGCATGTTTTGACAAGGACTACATGTGGCTAAATATGCTTCCAAGGGAATGTATAAAGTCAGGAAAATGGTGACATTTCTATTTTTGCCTTTCCTTTGGCCACGATGATCAGTTTTTTCCATATAGTTGCATGTAATTTTTTACACTTTTGGACATCAACCTGCCAGGTTAGTTTGTGTCTTTATAAAAATGTAGTTAATGAAATCAAACCCTCTCAACTTAAAAATTACCTTGTACTAGTGGATATGCAAAACACCAAAGGATGTCTTGGAAAAAAATGTAAAATGATTATTAAGATAATATTATTAATTTTGTAGTCAACAATAACAGTTAGAAACTTGTGTTGAGGCAGGCAAAAACATTTTTCAGAGACCATAGACCTTCACTGACTTTCCTGTTAAAAACATAGGCACGTTAAACGTGCATGAGCTATTTTGAATACTTCAGTGTAACCTTACCAAGAATGATGAATCTACCTTTTTCATCCTAAATGTAGATTTGGTTTTTGTGCGAAATTGGGTATTGCGCTACATAAATGAAAACGCGAAACGCTCAGCTGAGTCGATCCTCAACCTATATATTCACTTTCCTCTGTCTTTCCCTGTTACATCTGGTGCAAGTTGAACAAATTGTTAAAGTAAAATAAATTTATACTCACCAAACGTTGATTAGAAGGAAAACTGGTTACAAAACGAAATAGGTCTTCATACGTCCAAGTTACTATTTATCATTGTGAAAAGCCAATCTGCATGAGATGTACAGTCACACAGCTGGCACGTGAAAGTGTTGTACTTTCCCCCCTTTCGTGGTTCGTACGTGAGGGAATTCGAGTTATCACACAGTAATCTAGTAAACAGAACTATAAAAATAACTCTTGCACACAATTTGCACGTGAAGATGTTGGTCTTTGGCCCTTTTGCAATTCGTACGTTAAAAAAAGGCAAATTGTTTACTACAAAAGTTTCTCAAAAGATTTTAAGAAATCACCTCGGCTTCATTACAACATCTACAATTAAATTATGTTTCATGCAACGTCAAGGTTGATAACCTAACATTTATTAACATTTGTGAGACAATCTTTAACTCCGACAACTTATTTCTTCATGTTTTAAAAGCTATTGCTTCTCAAAAGACAAGAGCCTTTTTTAGGGCATTGGTTACTAAACGAAACAGGTCTTCATTCGTCCAAGTTACTATTATTATTGTGAAAAGCCAATCTGCATGAGATGTACAGTCACACAGCTGGCACGTGAAAGTGTTGGACTTTGCCCCCTTTCGTGGTTCGTACGTGAGGGAATTCGAGTTATCACACAGTAATCTAGTTAACAGAATTATAAAAATAACTCATGCACACAATTTGCATGTGAAGATGTTGGTCTTTGGCCCTTTTACAATTCGTACGTAAAAAAAAAGGCAAATTGTTTCACTACAAAATTTTCTCAAGCGATTTTCAGAAATCACCTCGGCTTTATTACAACATCTGCAATTAAATTATGTTTCATGCAACGTCAAGGTTGATAGCCTAACATTTATTAACTTCCAAGACAATTATCAAACTGCCGAAATATATTTATACTTGTATCATGTTACTCCACTCAATACAACAGTATCTAATTATTGTGTCAACTAGCTGCTTCCAATTTTATTCCCTAACGCTACTGTTTTTACTTAAGTTACGCGTCTTTACTAAATAAAATACGTTTCAGAAACTATAATACTTAGTATGCAGGAAGGATGTATCATGTTGTTCACTTATTATTCTTTTTTTTTGTTTTGCCAGAACGAAAAAGGTCTGTTGAACTTTGTAAGCGAGAGAATAATATTTTTAAAGCTTGTTTACAGGATTAACAATACTCGGTACAGCTTTCACAAAAATAAGCTGCCTTTTTAAACTTCTAAAACCACATTTTATAGGGCGCATACTTTCGAATTAAAGTCTATATCTAAATATCAATTATTACTTCATTGGAAGAGCTTTGAAAATATATGATCTTTTATACTCTACCCAGTTGTAGCAGGTGAAACAGAACTCATACTGACGTGCGTTGTACTGATAGCCGAATTAGGTCAGAAATGCCTTGAAGCAGCATCCATACTAAAATATGAACCCTTAAACAGCTGCATCATTGTACACAGCGTTTGAATCATGAAGATATTTAATGTAATTCTTCCAAACACCTCTAGCCGTAATAAAAGGCGAAAAAATTGTGAAGAATAAAGATGGCGTTCTCAAAGTGCCCTTGTTCGACCTTTACCAATGTCATGTTTAAGTAGATGCTAAGATCTCATTGGTTCCTAAGCATCAACTAATAGTATCTTCAACCTTATTGGCTCTTGCAACGAACATCCGAACATACAAAGTTACAAAGATACAAAGATACAAAGTTACAAAGATACAAAGCCACAACGATACATACGCTCACACCACTGACATATGAGCTATTTTTTCAAAATAGCTCAACAAGTGGTAAAAAGGTATTAAAATGTGAGATCACCTCCCTGGGCTTGCACTGAAAGAGAGTATGGATAGTAGGTCAGATTGTTCATTTCCCCCACCCTTTTTATGCCAAGAGACCTGATTTTATAACCCTGATTCACTTCAGTTAGCATACAGAATTAAGTTAGCTTTTAAACTTAGAAAGATGGAAAAACTTGGGCAAAAAATTGGTGGTGACTGGGTAAAAAATACGGACTAGGTATAAAATGCGGACTCCGGACTGAGTATAAAACACGGACTGGATATAAAACGCGGACTACGGACTATGTAAATAAAAACAGCTTTAGAAAGGTAAAACTGAGAGAAATGGAAAGCAGACTAGCAAAAACAGTAGTCCCAGCTTTAACATTCCCTTGGCTGTTCACGTAGTCTATTCTTTCCACGGAGAAGGAAGGTTATGCCGGTACTCAAGGCAACTGAAATTTAACTCTGAATTTTATAAAAAGGAGTTAGAAGAGATTTCAATTTGCAGTTTTAAACCAATAAGAAGCACCGAATTAAAAAAATAGTATTGGTGTTAGTCAGATCAGTAAAATTCTTATCGAATGCCACAATTCCCTATGAGGACTGAATGAAGAACTCAGCAGACGAGAAGGTAAATGTAGGGCATTCCGCGATGCACAAAAGCGGTATTTTGGGGGGAGGGCATTACTCACAAACGTGAATAATAACCGAAATGAGTCATCCAACGTTATATTCCAAGACATGATTATGATGACATGATTTACACCCTGCTCCTGATCCCCGAAGGGGGGGTACTACTGGAAATTCTTGGTGGGGGGTGGTGCCCGGTTCTCCGAATCCTGACCTTATTGCAGACCAAAACATGTTATTTTCCACACCCATTTTCAGTCCAGATCTCTAAAATGCATACCCATTTTCGGACGTGGCCCAATTTAGCCTCTTCCAGGCTCTCAGATAGTTGAGGAGACTCCCCAGTTTTTTCCCTTTTTATTTTCGTGTTCGCGCTTTCTCAATTCAGCGGACACAGCTATCTCGGAGCCTGGAACAGGTTAGGTATAATTAGGTAGAAATTAGGTCATCCGGCATTATCAAGTTAGAGCGGAGACAAAAAAATTCTCCAAATGCATTTCGAATTCGCACATTGCTATTTTGTTCTTATTCATTTGGAATTGAAACGATAAATACGTCCATTCATGTACTCTCCCGTAGTTCCCTCGAAAAACCATACCGATTCCAGACCAAAATGGGCAAAGTGTTTTCAGACCAAAAAGGCCCAAAACCCCTACCCTTCCCTTATATAAGGGAGTACCCCCCTGATCCTGACCCCTTTCATGATTGTTAGAGACCGAGACGAGGTCTAAAAATGGGTGAAGAAAATAGCATTTTGATCCGGCTCATGATTCAGAGAACCGGGCGGCACACCTCCACCAAGAATTTATAGGAGTATTTACAACTTTAACTCACGTGTCTTGCTATTTAGCGATCTTTTGATCTTATTTTTCCTTACCTAGAACCAATTAGCACCGTTTTTACGAAAGTAGTCCGTAGTCCGTATTTTATACCCAGTCCGCAGTCCGCACATTATACCTAGTCCATATTTTATACCCAGTCCGCAGTCCGCAGTCCGTGTTTTATACTGACCGGTCGTTCCCGTAACTGGTGTCAAATTCAAAGCGCCATTTCTACATGCGTAATGAGCAGTGAATATTTTACGATAACTTCTCTGTATTTGGTCAGATTGAAAATCTTTGAATGGATTAAGTTTCTTAGAAGACATTTACATCAAATTCAGGAAAACGGAGCTGGTAGAAATTTCATAACTGCCTCGCGTATGAATTCACGGCTCATTACACATTGCAAGAGTGCAGAGGTCAATCTGAAATCTACAACTACCAACGGATTCAACTTTTGAATAATAAATTCATTAATGGGTTCTTGGGGGGTACGCTTGACTTGGTTTGACTGTAAAACTAAGTTCTAAATTTACTCTTTAACACTTTGAAGCTAAGTTCTAATTTACAATATAAAAACGAAATGCATATATGAGCTCGGACGCTAAATTGAATAAGTAAATATGCGCACGTACAGTTAACCTAAGCATAAGCGGCATTCACTCACACATCCTTCAAGAAATGATGTTACATCCTTCTTACGTATCATTGTCCTAAAAGTTGCCAAAGTCCCAATATTTCTCTCCTCCTTGCTTAATTTTGACCACAATTGTGGTCCGAGAAATCTGAGAGAATGTCTTCCATAAGTAAGAGTTTTAAACCGAGGTAAGAGAAAATCTGCATTTCTTAGGTTACTCTCTTACTATTAGTATTCTCCTTGATATTAAAAATATCCGCAATTTGGTTCGTTCATTTTGACTGATTCTCCCGGTTTTCTCATGTGTCCGTTGAAGAGCGGAATCTTTTTATCCCCACTTTTTTTCCATTTATCTAAGGTTCTTCCAACATCAGTGCTTCTTCGTACATTTCTTCCAGAAATATTTCATTGCTCTTTTTCTGTTTTACAAAGCATTGGTAGCAAATTATGTGTCCACTCAGGTGCATCACAATTAGAATTATGGCATGAAAAGCAAACGCGATCCCAACAAACTCTACATTAGAAGGAACATTCTTCCATCGATTCGGCCCAAAAAGGACAAATCCAATTTGGAAAAACCAACTGCCTTGTAAGCTTAACAAATAAGCTTTTAAGAAACCGGTAATTTGAAAAAATTGATCAGAAATAGCCGCCAAGAAAAATACAGCACCTGACACCAAAATAACAATGTAGAGTATTGTGTGCAGGCGAACATTGAGCTCGTCTCGTCCGTGTAGATGGAAGAAAAACAAAAGTCCTTCCATCCAAAAGGCCATCGAGAAGACCAGGTAGTCAAACTTTGGTGGAAGAGGCAGTAATTTGTACACCATTACAAGGTCAACGACGCCTGTCAGGCCAAAGAAGGAGTACATAGCGGTGTGCGCATAATTATCCACATGACTGGGTACAAATTCTCCCTTCTCGTCAAATAAGGCTGTTGCTTTGGAGGCTGGAAGCTCGGCTATTACACCAAGGATGGCGAAAACTACTTTTATTACAGGTTCCACGGGGAATTTTGAAAGTTTCCCGTGCCCGGGACATGGGTACCATAACGGATGGATCAGTTTTGACTGACGTTTCCCAGGTTCAGTTTTTGCTCGAGCAGCGATGCCATTTCCTAAGCGGTCCTGCAAGACTTCACCGATAAACCACCACACGGATAAAATTATGAACATTGATCCGGGAACGACATGACCTTCTAAGGATCCCATTGTCGTTTGAACAAAGTTTTTCCCACAACACTTGCCACGTTGACACACTGCGCTGCCGTGTGTTTACATCAGGGGGGGCTGGCAACGGCCTTTGATCTTGCCGCTTTTCGGCTTTCCATGATCGCCCCAGTTAAGAAATATGTCAATCATCCGAAAAATGTAGCGACTATGCGCGAAACGGGTTGGGAAAACAACAAGTTCGTCGTAGCAGCTTCTTCGCAGCGATTCGGCAGTGTGAAGTGAAGTTCCTTTTGGTCCCGTTGGTCATTGGTTTCTTCGTTTTGTTCCGCGGTAATGTGGAGCTTACGTTTTCCTTTCTTCTGGTCTTGCGTTTGTCATTAAATGCGGCCCGGTTTACTACGGTAAGAACGAGACCAGTGAACATGTTTCTCGATGCCCGACCTTTTGATGATTTGTTTCTCTTTAAACGACCCACGAATTGCAAGAGTGAAAGAAGGGTCAACCCTCCAATACGTATGTAGAAGAGTTTATATTTTCAATCGAAAGGCCCAAAATTAATTCTTCGAGGTATTAAAAAAAAGTGCGGTGACTGGCATGTGGTTGAGTAGACGAGTTGTCAGAGTTCAGCTGAGAGTTGTTTACGGCTACTCCTTTAAGACCACAAGAAATGATGATTGAGATTCTCAGTTCTACGTCCTTGATTGTGAACTTATCCTGGCAGAGTTGCGTTGGATGATTGAGTGGCATGGTCAAATCTCGTAGTTCATGTATTTCTTTATGTACTAGAAACTAAATAAATTTTGCCAAGAGATCATTCTCTCTTGATTTTGCACATGTTGATATGCTTAAGTTCGTTTCTTCGTGCGATTTAATTTAAACTTTACCGTAGTTTCTAACAAATGAATCTTAGGCAGATGAAAGGGTAATTATCTTGTGTGTTTGGAATTCTCTTTTCATGACAGCAGTTACTACACTGCTTCAGTTTGAGTCCTAATTCAAGTGTGTTTTGTTGCAAAAAAAGAGGGAAAAGTTATAATTTTTAAAAACTACACTACCCCTTGGACAAGATTATGGTTTAAAAAAGATTAGCTAAGTTCAGAAAATAAATCTTAAAGTTTGCATGTTTTGACAAGGACTACATCTGGCTAAATATGCTTCCAAGGGAATGTATAAAGTCAGGAAAATGGTGACATTTCTATTTTTGCCTTTCCTTTGGCCACGATGATCAGTTTTTTCCATATAGTTGCATGTAATTTTTTACACTTTTGGACATCAACCTGCCAGGTTAGTTTGTGTCTGTATAAAAATGTAGTTAATGAAATCAAACCCTCTCAACTTAAAAATTACCTTGTTCTAGTGGATATGCAAAACACCAAAGGATGTCTTGGAAAAAAATGTAAAATGATTATTAAGATAATATTATTAATTTTGTAGTCAACAATAACAGTTAGAAACTTGTGTTGAGGCAGGCAAAAACATTTTTCAGAGACCATAGACCTTCACTGACTTTGCTGTTAAAACAAGTGGTAAAAAGGTATTAAAATGTGAGATCACCTCCCTGGGCTTGCACTGAAAGAGAGTATGGATAGTAGGTCAGATTGTTCATTTCCCCCACCCTTTTTATGCCAAGAGACCTGATTTTATAACCCTGATTCACTTCACTGAGTTAGCATACAGAATTAAGTTAGCTTTTAAACTTAGAAAGATGGAAAAACTTGGGCAAAAAATTGGTGGTGACTGGGTATAAAATACGGACTAGGTATAAAATGCGGACTCCGGACTGAGTATAAAACACGGACTGGGTATAAAACGCGGACTACGGACTATGTAAATAAAAACAGCTTTAGAAAGGTAAAACTGAGAGAAATGGAAAGCAGACTAGCAAAAACAGTAGTCCCAGCTTTAACATTCCCTTGGCTGTTCACGTAGTCTATTCTTCCCACGGAGAAGGAAGGTTATGCCGGTACTCAAGGCAACTGAAATTTAACTCTGAATTTTATAAAAAGAAGGAGTTAGAAGAGATTTCAATTTGCAGTTTTAAACCAATAAGAAGCACCGAATTAAAAAAATAGTATTGGTGTTAGTCAGATCAGGAAAATTCTTATCGAATGCCACAATTCCGTATGAGGACTGAATGAAGAACTCAGCAGACGAGAAGGTAAATGTAGGGCATTCCGCGATGCACAAAAGCGGTATTTTGGGGGGAGGGCAAGGGGGGAGGGATTACTCACATACGTGAATAATAACCGAAATGAGTCATCCAACGTTATATTCCAAGAGATGATTATGATGACATGATTTACACCCTGCTCCTGATCCCCGAAGGGGGGGTACTACTGGGAATTCTTGGTGGGGGGTGGTGCCCGGTTCTCCGAATCCTGACCTTATTGCAGACCAAAACATGTTATTTTCCACACCCATTTTCAGTCCAGATCTCTAAAATCCATACCCATTTTCGGACGTGGCCTAATTTAGCCTGTTCCAGGCTCTCAGATAGTTGAGGAGACTCCCCAGTTTTTTCCCGTTTTATTTTCGTGTTCGCGCTTTCTCAATTCAGCGGACCCAGCTATCTCGGAGCCTGGAACAGGTTAGGTATAATTAGGTAGAAATTAGGTCATCCGGCATTATCAAGTTAGAGCGGAGACAAAAAAATTCTCCAAATGCATTTCGAATTCGCACATTTCTATTTTGTTCTTATTCATTTGGAATTGAAACGATAAATACGTCCATTCATGTACTCTCCCGTAGTTCCCTCGAAAAACCATACCGATTCCAGACCAAAATGGGCAAAGTGTTTTCAGACCAAAAAGGCCCAAAACCCCTACCCTTCCCTTATATAAGGGAGTACCCCCCTGATCCTGACCCCTTTCATGATTGTTAGAGACCGAGACGAGGTCTAAAAATGGGTGAAGAAAATAGCATTTTGATCCGGCTCATGATTCAGAGAACCGGGCGGCACACCTCCACCAAGAATTTATAGGAGTATTTACAACTTTAACTCACGTGTCTTGCTATTTAGCGATCTTTTGATCTTATTTTTCCTTACCTAGAACCAATTAGCACCGTTTTTACGAAAGTAGTCCGTAGTCCGTATTTTATACCCAGTCCGCAGTCCGCACATTATACCTAGTCCATATTTTATACCCAGTCCGCAGTCCGCAGTCCGTGTTTTATACTGACCGGTCGTTCCCGTAACTGGTGTCAAATTCAAAGCGCCATTTCTACATGCGTAATGAGCAGTGAATATTTTACGATAACTTCTCTGTATTTGGTCAGATTGAAAATCTTTGAATGGATTAAGTTTCTTAGAAGACATTTACATCAAATTCAGGAAAACGGAGCTGGTAGAAATTTCATAACTGCCTCGCGTATGAATTCACGGCTCATTACACATGCAAGAGTGCAGAGGTCAATCTGAAATCTACAACTACCAACGGATTCAACTTTTGAATAATAAATTCATTAATGGGTTCTTGGGGGGTACGCTTGACTTGGTTTGACTGTAAAACTAAGTTCTAAATTTACTCTTTAACACTTTGAAGCTAAGTTCTAATTTACAAAATAAAAACTAAATGCATATATGAGCTCGGACGCTAAAATGAATAAGTAAATATGTGCACGTCCAGTTAACGAGGCCTTCCAAGGGGTAAAAGCGACATGCGACACGGCCCTGAAAACTGGCGACATGGGAATTTTTAAAAAGCGAGAAGTGACATGCCTACGCTGCTAAAATGCGACAGCGACATACTTAACAGTGAAAAACGACGGTGACATTGGAAAGTTGTGCATTTTATCAATAAAAGTGACTCAGAATACAGGAAATTGCATTTCTGAGGGTTCAGATTTTCCAAATTTTCCCGCAGGAGCCTACCCTTAAAGAAGAAGAAGCGTTCATCCTTCGCCGCTCACAAAGTTTTGCCAACTGACCATCATGAAAATCCTGTTATAGCCCTGTTGCGAAACAGTTTCTCGCAAAACAAAAATTACTGGTACAGTTATGTACACTTCAAAAAACGACAGCGACATTTGCAGCTGTAGATTAGGCGACAACGGTCTCCTAAAGCAAGCGACATTGCGACACAGCTACCCCCCTTGGAAGGCCTCGTTAACCTAAGCATAAGCGGCATTCACTCCCACATCCTTCAAGAAATGATGTTACATCCTTCTTACGTATCATTGTCCTAAAAGTTGCCAAAGTCCCAATATTTCTCTCCTCCTTGCTTAATTTTGACCACAATTGTGGTCCGAGAAATCTGAGAGAATGTCTTCCATAAGTAAGAGTTTTAAACCGAGGTAAGAGAAAATCTGCATTTCTTAGGTTATATCTCTTACTATTAGTATTCTCCTTGATATTAAAAATATCCGCAATTTGGTTCGTTCATTTTGACTGATTCTCCCGGTTTTCTCATGTGTCCGTTGAAGAGCGGAATCTTTTTATCCCCACTTTTTTTCCATTTATCTAAGGTTCTTCCAACATCAGTGCTTCTTCGTGCATTTCTTCCAGAAATATTTCATTGCTCTTTTTCTGTTTTACAAAGCATTGGTAGCAAATTATGTGTCCACTCAGGTGCATCACAATTAGAATTATGGCATGAAGAGAAAACGCGATCCCAACAAACTCTACATTAGAAGGAACATTCTTCCATCGATTCGGCCCAAAAAGGACAAATCCAATTTGGAAAAACCAACTGCCTTGTAAGCTTAACAAATAAGCTTTTAAGAAACCGGTAATTTGAAAAAATTGATCAGAAATAGCCGCCAAGAAAAATACAGCACCTGACACCAAAATAACAATGTAGAGTATTGTGTGCAGGCGAACATTGAGCTCGTCTCGTCCGTGTAGATGGAAGAAAAACAAAAGTCCTTCCATCCAAAAGGCCATCGAGAAGACCAGGTAGTCAAACTTTGGTGGAAGAGGCAGTAATTTGTACACCATTACAAGGTCAACGACGCCTGTCAGGCCAAAGAAGGAGTACATAGCGGTGTGCGCATAATTATCCACATGACTGGGTACAAATTCTCCCTTCTCGTCAAATAAGGCTGTTGCTTTGGAGGCTGGAAGCTCGGCTATTACACCAAGGATGGCGAAAACTACTTTTATTACAGGTTCCACGGGGAATTTTGAAAGTTTCCCGTGCCCGGGACAAGGGTACCATAACGGATGGATCAGTTTTGACTGACGTTTCCCAGGTTCAGTTTTTGCTCGAGCAGCGATGCCATTTCCTAAGCGGTCCTGCAAGACTTCACCGATAAACCACCACACGGATAAAATTATGAACATTGATCCGGGAACAAGATGACCCTCTAAGGATCCCATTGTCGTTTGAACAAAGTTTTTCCCACAACACTTGCCACGTTGACACACTGCGCTGCCGTGTGTTTAGATGTATTTTAATGAGAGGTGTAAACGTGCAATTTGTCATGTTCGCTCTGCGGGATGTCATGTTATCCAAAATGAGGTAGGGGTGGAGTCGCTTTTTTGAATTCTGGTGTATTCGATGATGACTATAAATATAATAGCACAGCGGTTGTTTCAATTCGCAAATTGCGAAAAAGAAAAAAAAAAAGGGACAAAAATGCGTTAGACTTTAAAATTCCCTTTTATATGTTGTGATTTACTTTTATCCTTGGTTTAAATTTTATTTCCCTTTGTTTTTAACTTATTATAATACATTACCATACCCTGAAACAAAGGTAAATAAAGTTTAAGCCAAGGATAAAATTGAACTACAACATATACATGAATATTGAAGTTTCGTGTCTTTTTTCTGGCGACGGTACCAGATCCCTCTGATAGTCCTTTATTGGCGATAAGAACTGCCTCCAGTATATCTCATACTAACATCTAATCTTTGTCAGAAACGCGTCCTGTCTTTGTGGAAACTTTCCCATGGCTACACATCAAGCTTAATAAATGAGAAGTCGCTAAGCAATGGGATTGGATCATTAAACGCGGCATTATATTTATATGATAAACGCAGCCAGCTCAAGAAAAAATAAAAGAAAAGAAAAGCCTACAGAAAAAGAAAAAAAATACTGTCCGTGAGCTCAGCACAGCTAATATCATTCTCCATTTTGAATGCTACTTTGTATTGAAACAGTGCAGGTGGGAATAAAGCGTTCACAGTAAATAAATATTGACTTGAATTTATAAGGAAAGAAAGCAGATTTAGCACGATGCTCTAGTGATATATTACATAAAACTGCCGGAAAATATATTTTGAATTTATTCTGAGGCCCTGTCTAAGAGATATGCTAGCTTAGGAGTATTGTGTTAAAATATTGTGTTTAACCGTCCAGGACAGTGTTAATTACGTGTAAATGTATATGGCATGACTTATTCATTATCTATGCAGTTTATATTGCCAGTTCGTGGTGATTATCGAGTCTAATAGGTTAGACTGCAAAACAACCGCTCTTTCTTCGAAGGTTAAGCTGACGGAAGCAGTCAAACAAAAGTCGTGGAGAGAGTGAGTAAAAAGAAAGTGCGAGACTGGGGAGAGGAGACGCGAAGTTCTGCGCATGGTGTCCACCATTCAACGATACGAAAAGACTGCGTTGAAAATCTTGAAAAGACTGTTTCCTTAACGAAAAACAAAGGACAGTTATATGGCCGCTCTCGATGACCCAGCATAGTCCGTTATCCTCCATCCGTCTTTTCTTGATATTAGTGAACTTGTACGACAGGACGGCAGAAAGAAGAGTGTTAATTTGTGCAACAAACAGGAACAAACCTGTCAGGGCTATTACTTGCGAGTTTTGTCGTGATCTTCACTTAGCAATACTGTGTTCTGTTTTAAGTTTATTGTTTTGCCTTAAATTATACAAAAAAGAAATGTCTGAATGTTAACAGCTAATGGCGAGGAAGCCCAAGGGAAATGTAAGGGCTTATAAGGAATAGGCTCCCTCGATTAATTATTACAAAGAAGTATAAACAACCGTAAATGACCTAATAAACGCCCACTTGCAAATAAGCGCCTCTTATCTAATAAACGCCCCCTCTACGCTGCTAAATTTTTAAAAGACGCCCCTCTCTAATAAACGCCCCCTGTCTAATGGCCGCCCGCTATAAGAAGTAGTCTAAAATACAAAGAATTAGCAAACAGGAGCGAAATCATTTTATTCATTCCGTTTCTTGTCGTATTTCATCTTGTTGGGTGTCAAGTTTAAAGTAAGGAGAGACTAACGATGGCAACACAGTAACAATCAGCGAGGATTCTGACCTCCATGCCGAGATTTCAAAGAGCGATATGGATCTCTGGACGGCCTAGACGTATCAATTGATGGAGTGGATATTCCGCTATTTTTTAACTCTCTTGGTATTTTCGCCGAAAGCATGTTAGTTTTGTTGAGATTGTTGCAGTAATGAGAATAAACGCCTCCTAACTATTAAACGCCCATACTTGGACCCCCAAAATTAAATAATAGGCGTTTATTAGCCGGGTCGTTTACGGTATGCATGCAGAGTTACAGTAAATATTATAATAAAATTATTAGATAAATGTATTAATCATAGTTACGTTAAAAAAAAGCAAAGCGAAAGGGAAAAAAATGAAAATGAAAAGTAGAGGTAAAGGAAAAAAAATAAACGAATATTTTATGATAAGGGGAATACTTTCATTACAGTAAAAGGAAGCGATACTTGCCGCATTCTCAAATTTAAAACAAAGAGAGTAAACGAATTTAGGCCCTTGGAAACTAATAGAAAACTTTTTTACAAAGTCTTTTGCAAAAAGGTCCATTTAAAAGAAGGTAAAGTTTGGCGGAAAATTTTTTCAAACAAAGGTATTATCACGTTTGTCACTCAAGGTTTGCCGTCTTTTTCCCTTCGCCGTCCTTTATTTATTCCCCGAATGTTGTTTCCTTTCCACATATATGATGTAAATGCAATTTTCACTTACCAAAAAAACAAGAGCAAGATTTACCAGTCCCCTAAATCGATCTAAGCTTTCAGATGGGTTTATAAGAGAATCCTTAGCTTCGTGTACCCTGTAATCGCGAAAAAACAAGCAAACAAACAAAAACAAAACAAAATCAGTGAATTTTTCGTCAAGATCTACGTAGGCTCAGTCCAGCTGTAGATAGATCACCAGATACAAATTTTTTTTTGCAAGAAATACTTACGGATCATTTATACCCAGTTTTTCTCGTTCGAAGCGGGGTAAATCACGCAATGGAGGAATCGTGAGCATGATACAAATAATTTACATATCTCCTCGCGAAATCTCAAGACAAAAATTTCACCGAATCTAATGGTTATAAATTGTGATGTCACAAAACGTTCATTAAGCACGCGCGCGCGGCGAGCTCCTGTATCCTGATCGACCAGAAGCCGTAATCAGCTACTGATTCGACAAACGTTTTCTCGCAGGGGAGGAGAGGTTGAAATGTGAAGATTTTGTCGTTTCAGTTTTTAGTTTTCATATTGCCCAAAGACTTGAGTTATGAATGCGGGCTGCAAAAATTATTTAATGTTGTAGTAGTTAATTGACACTAGGAATACCCAGAAATCATCGTGTGTGGTTTCTGGGCTCTTACGGACCTTACAAGTTTAATCACATGACACTAGTGCGTTTGGCAGGTTTCTTGGACGGCTGGCCAGTGAAAAACGCCCAGGGGTTTCTCATAGTGAAATAGTGGCGTCAATGTAATAGAGTACTAAAGTGTGACGTCATAAAAAACTTAAATTTGTAAAATTATGAGGTTTGTCAAAGACCAACGTCCAAGACGCCTACTTTCCACAAATTAGCATTTCGGGGCAAATTGTCTCTAAGATATTATCCTGTGATGACTCCATACAAATCCTTCTAAATTTTATTTTTAACTTGGAAGGATTTGTACCAGTTCTTTGAACCATAAAGTGCCAACCTCATTTAAGCCACGTGCAAACGGACCCGACAACTTCCAACATTGTTGCCCAAAGTTGCCAGCAACTTTCAACAACGCGCAACAATATGCAAGAGGGTGTGCAAATGGACGCAACATGTAACATCCAACAATGTTGCGTCCGTGTGCACGGAGCTTAGCTTTAACATGTTTTTTGGCGGATTTTTTAAGAGCTGAAGAAAAACTGGTGTTTTTTTTTAGTGGCTGAAACTGCTGCATCAATAGTGGTAAATCGTGCAATAAAATGGCCACGATAACTTTAAGTCAAAATCGCACCCAGAAATCGCCGTTTCACCATAATTTAATGATCCTGGAAAACGTTGTATAACAACAAAACAAAACGTAAGAGAGGGGTGGTAGGAAACGAAAACATCGCTCAAAATTACTCTCTTTTTGCAATTACTTACATGTTGAAGAATGAATTTATTTCTTCTCTGTTGTTGTTCAAAGCCAACTTTGTTTACCAGCGAACTGAAGTCATTCAGTTGGCAAGTTGCATATTTCTTCCCGGTCTTTGACGACCTCCTTCCCAGGCCCCTCTCCAGGTACGAGTAGGAGGGAACTCTGGGAACAGGGTTGGGTATTCAGGGTGCAAAACCTCAACGCCCCTTCCCAAGTTCACTACTGTATCTCTCTCCTCCGCATAGGAGTCTTTAGGGAGCTTTAGCAACGACGACGGCGACGGCATCGAGGACGTCAAAAAAGCAATAGCTTTATTACGCAAAACAACAACTTTTCACGCTTTTTTGTACATTTCTTTACCGTCCTTGCACGACTACGACGTGAAAATGCCTAATTGCAAGTTTTTTTGAGGACGTAAACAAGCGACGACGAATCTCTTTTTCTCTCTCTAAACTTGAGTGCGGTCCTCAAGAAATCAACTCCAGGGAAATTCGCCTACAGTACACTTGCCATTTTCAGCAAATTGGAATAAACGCGACAAAGATTGAAAAAAACGGGAATTCATTTCAAAACTGACGTTTTCGCTGCCGTTGCCGTTGTCGATGCTGAAGCTCCCTTTTGTGTTGCAAGGAGACGGTGGTCTCCCGTTCACTTACGCGCGCTTGCTGCATTTCAATTATTGCTATGTTTTTTTAGGGGGGGGGGGTACCCAGCGGGAGCCTCTGCGGAGGAGAGAGATGTTTTATTAATTCGAACACCCGTGGACATAAACTATTCTCTCCTCGGCAGAGTAGAAGCCTCTTTGTTCCACTAGGAGCTGGGGAGGGAGAGGAGGAAAGACAGCCCGCGGGGGACGATGGGAAGGGGGAAAGAAGGTCCGCTCCGCGGGCTAACTATTTTGCTTAATGTTTTTTTAGAATACCAGTGGGAAAAGAGCGCATAGGGGATTCATCGTTAGCCTCCCACGCGGACACGTAAGAAAGGAACATTGGCCTGGTTGTACATTTAGGAAAACAAGATAAAATCAAT